CCAGTTTGCACTGGAGCTTTTTGTGGCCGAGTGTGAAACGGCGGGAATAATAATTAACACCTCCAAGTCTGAAAGGGCAGAGCACCGACTGCAGATCAGGGCGGAGTTATACCCCCCAAGCGGTGGAGCTGAAGTATCTCACAGTTTTGTTCCCAACTGAGGGGAGAATGGAACACTCCCTCACGTCATCTGTCAACCTGAGATAATACAATACATGAGCTCTGTTGTGGCAATGAGAGAGCTGGGAATAAAAGCGAGGATGTATTTTTACCAGGCAATCTGTGTTCCTATTCTCACCCTATGGTCACAAGCTTTCATTAGTGAATGAAACATTGAGGTTGTGGACACAAGTGGCATAAATTTCTTTAGAAGAGTGGCTAGGCACTCCCTTAGAGATAGGGTGAAGAGCTTGGTTATTCAAGAGGGACACAGTGTAGAGCGGCTGCTCCTCTACTTCTGCTTCTGTGCCAGTTGAGGTAGTTGGGCATCAGACTAGGATTCCTCCTGGACGCTTCCTTGGTGAGCTATTCTAGGCATGTCCTACCAGGATAAGGCCCTGGAGCAGGACAAGGCCCTGGCGCAGACCAAGGACTCAGCAACAACAGAAACTACTATTATTAAATAAATAAGTGGGGTAATATCGGTAACAGTGACTCTTGACTCTTTGGTGCCGTACTCTGCTTGATCTTTTGGTGTCAGATCCAGTGCTGTTCTAATTCTCATTCATTCTTTTTCTTCCAAATACCCAGGAAACACCAAGATTTTATCAACCACAGCATGGAGACAAAGCCTCATTACTCACAAACACAACAGAATCCACACATACAAACAAAGAATGAAACTGACACCAACCTGGCCCTCCACTCTAATATCAATGGGGTTGACAGCCCTGGAATATCTGCAAGCTCAAACATTTGCTCTCACATAAATGATAGAATGGAAGGGAAAAGTGTAGAAGCTGAAGGGGGAAGAACAACTCCTCCTCCTAGTGCCATGCCCCTCAACAGCAGTAGTAAACCCCCTCCATCCAAGAGCCACAATGGACATCAACCAGCTGAGGGACATGAAGAGCCAGGTGTTGGTTTATCATATGACCCCAGGGAACAGCAGGAGAATGTGGTGCTGAGGAGAGGTTTTGTCCCAAGGACAGCTCCAGAGAGGTTGGCCCAAAGAAAGTGCTCAATGGCTCAACTGCAACAGTGGGTCAACCAGCGGCGGGGCATGGCCTCGCAAGAAGACATCAACAGGTAGCTCAATTTAGAAGAGAAGACATATAACTGCTCTTTGTGTCTCCAGGTCTTCAAATATTATAATTTATTTACTATGACTTTACACTGGCACAGTGATCATTGAATTACGTGCACACTAATAATGTAAACTATCAGAAATACAGATTATATACATTATTGGTGATTATTTTAATGGAATAGTAGAACTTTCAAAAACAAATATTAAAGCAGTGCACAACTTGTTTTGTAAGGCTGTTTGAAGAAGTGTTGGTTCTCAAATGATTTTCTATAGTTTTCAGACACCTTTGGCACTAACCAAATTATTCACCCTTCTTACTTAATCCCAAAAAAGTATTATTACACTAATTTCAAAGATCCCATAATTAAATAAAACCTTTCAACTGTTTTTATTTTCATCTTTTCTGTTTTGTATTGTTTATCATACAACTGTAAGTGACAACTCCGCTAACTGCTATTTCATGAGTAAGTTTCCTTTCTGTGTTTCTAGAAAGACTTAATTTGATTTGTTTTATGAAAATGTAATGTATATATATAAAATTAATGTGTATTTTAAAAAGGGAAAAATGTAATTTTAGTCTTTATCCTATTGTGTTTCTTAAAGAAGAACTAGACCAAGATAAACTTTCACACGTTCAAATAGTTTTTCATGTCGGAAATATTCTCTAATTTTTCCTGTGCTTTCAGGCCACCCTCTTACTATTCTGTGAACCAAGAAGTCTCAGCTGGCTACTATAACTTTGTGGACGAATACTCTTTGTACCTACCAGGGGTCCGACCAGACAGCATCTGCTCTATGTCTGCTGTGGGGGGCTATGACAGACTATGGACTATTGAGCAAAAGCGACACTCTCTGAGGGATGAACCCCACCGGTTGTACAGGAAACAGATGCCCCAAGACCAATGGGGGCCACAGTACTATGGTGGAATGGAAACATCCATGAGGAGCCTGTTTATTCAGCCACGTTCGAAGTCTGTGCCCAGATCACCATCCTCATCATCGAGACGGCCCTATTCACCAGCGTCATGCACCTATGCCTCACCTGCTCGATCACTATCCAATGGTTTTGACCGGTTTTCAGGGAGGATGAATGAAGATGCAATCTATCCACCAGTCTACAGTCTGAGAAGATCTTTCAGCTCCCCAAAGGTGAACTGGTTTACTGTGTTTGTGTGTAGCTTTGAGATACTAATGTTTGATAAGTCTTTGAATAACGTTTATCAATACAGAAAGTCAGCAGGGATAAAATCAAGACTCTCCAGTTTTGATATAGTGACACCATATTCATCTAACACCACTCTGACACTCTCACTCACCTTACTTCTATTTTGTCCTTTCTTCTTTCTATGTTCTCTTCCCTACTGCCTTTAGTATAACTACCATGGTGATAGGAGGTCATTAAACCAAGGATTATACCACCACAACTACCCTGTATCCCCTTCTGTTCACAGTAAAATGGTATGTGCTGCAAAAGTATGTAAATAGTACTTAATGCACTTCATGCTGTGGCATATGTAATTTTGTATTGTAAATGCTGTCAGCTGTGGGGTCTGGCATTAATTATCTGTATGTCCAAGTAGAGATGTCTGATCCATTTTGGTTACCTTGGCTTTGGGTATCTACTGATAATAAGCAATGATTGGGTACCATTAATACACTGTATTTGTGATTGTGAAAAATAAACTAGGACTGATATGCGAAGGGAACATTAAGGATGACTTTCACATTTTGGTCTTGTTTTTAAAGGAACTTTACAAATATATATTTATTGCATATGCATTTATTAAAACAATACATCATAAGATCAAAATAATAAGATAAAGAGTTGCTATCTATACAATATTTGTCTTTTTGATTTCCACGCTTGCCACCAATGCTGCTGCTTGGTTCAGGAGGATATATTAGATTTTCAGCTCCAGCGCAACCTGGATTACCTAGATCAACAGGTAGGAGGAAACATACAGTAGTGTTTGCCAATAAATACTTTATACACACCATTTCTCATAATTCTTGACAGTTCTTACCTACTTTACTGCCGTTTAAAATCTCTTTTCTATGTTTTTTGTGTGCTTCTCTTGTATAGAGTATCTTTTGGCTGTCCATTAACTTGAAAATATGATTCCTTTATAACAGTTCAATTATTGTTCCAGTTGTCCTGTCATACAACTTTCTTCTCTGGTCTATAATCCAAGCTTCAGTTACTCAGGGAAAGCTCTCGATTTGGGATGGTCCCCAATTTTTTCGAGCACTCACCCTCAACAACAAAGTAGAAGTAAGGAAAGTAGCAGCCCCGGAGGAGGCAGGCTTCAGTTGAGACTAAAAGTATTTATAACACCACCATAACAACAAAATGTCATTTCTTTTGCTCTTTTTGTGTGCTATAGTGTCCTAAATAGTCAGCCTAATTTAATGTGTCGCCTACCTTCATTTCTTATTGAAGTCAAAATTGAATTAATGTATTGGTTGTGTAATGTGGGATACAGACTTTGAAGATTACATACATGAAAACTCCCATTTTTATTTATGCTTTGAATTACAGTGGAACCCCGACTTACAAAATTAATTCATTTCCGAGGGTCTTTCTTAAATCGAAAATTTTCACAAGTCGAAGCACCCATCGCACGTTTTGACTGAGGCGATGCTGCACGATAGGCTATAGGCTAATTGCTAACTAGAACAACAATACGTCATTCAAGTGGAACAGCGAAGCGCAAGTACGGAAGCCAAGGGGTTGTCACATGATTCGAAAGGCATTGTGGGCATTGTAGGCTCAGCCAATCAGAGCCAGCGTATTTCGTTACTTGGGCATTTTACCGTAACACGGGCAAAAATATTGCCGTTCAGTGCCTTCGTAACTTGAATAATTTGTGAAACGGGGTATTCGTAAGTCGGGGTTCCACTGTATTTAAAATTTTTTGACACCAACAAGTTGGGATGTCCTTAATATGCTCATCTTAAGTGCACAGTTCTGGTTATGATAGCTGCTGTCCACCTACAGTTAGGCCCATAAAAGTTTGGGCATTAACACAATTTGTGTAATTTATGTCTCTGTACATAACTACAGGGAATTTTAAATAAGAAAAAAATGAAGTAAAGGCTTCAAGACCTTCAACAAAAGTACTGAATTAACGGTTTCCAGCCATAGTCCCACATTTTCAGGGGTTTATAAGTAACTATACTAAATGCTTAATACTTGGCTGTTTCTGTACCTGAAGGTTTGAACTGCCAGAGAGCATAGCCGTGTAAACCTCAGAATTCATCCTGCCAATTCAATCAGCAGTCACATCATTATCATCATCAGTAGTGACCTGCTTCCAAATGCAGCCATACATGTCCATGCCATAACACCTTCAACATGTTGGAAAGATAATGTTGTTCCTTTAGTTCTCCATACTTTTCTCTTCCCATCAATCAGGTACCAGATAATCTTGTTTAATCTATCCAAAAATTATTTTTGTTCTCTTGCTTAGTGGCAAGTGGCAGACCACAGTAACATCCCTAAAAAGGATTCAGTAACCATCACAGTGGCAGACATCTCCAAGAAAGTGTCTCAAGCATGAAAAGTTACACAGCACCAGGCCCTGACATGATTCTAACCTACTGGTTAACAAAGCTAATTACACTCCACAAATGTCTCTCAGCACAAATCAACCAGCCGCTAATGGATGAGATACACAGAGAATGGCTAACTGAAAGCCAGACAGTCCTGATACCCACGGATCCCCATATTGCACCGGTCACATCCAACTACCGACAAATAACCTTCAGCTCAACATGGAAGCTCCTGTCAGGCATCATAGTAGTTAGTATGAACAGGCACATGCAGAGTAGCAAGAAGGGGACTATTATGGAAAGACAGGTCTGTGCACCGTATCTACCACTGGCAGATAGAAGACATAGCTGATGTCAAGAAATCCTACAATGGCTGGAGAATGCTAGACTCAAAGAAAGCACAGAGGAAATAATCAAGACAGCACAGTAACATACTCTAAGCAAAAGATCCCAGGTGCAGGCTGTACAGAGATTCCCCCAAGACAAGCAAGTAACAGCAGGGCGCAAGATAATCGCAAGTAGGGAATACATGAAATGCCCTAACCAAGTGACTAGCATAGTATACAGGGATATCTGTGCTGGGTATGGCCTGGAGGTCCAGAGGTCAAATTACCCTTGTCTTGCCTCCCAAGGGTAGTTGAGATTGACCAACCTAAGATCCTGTGGGACTTCCAGATACAAATTGATAAACAGCTGATGGCTAATCAACCGGACATAGTAGAGGTGGACAAGCAGAGGAGGATGACACCAGTGATAGCTGTAGCTATACCAAATGATAGAAACACTAGGAAGAAGGAACATGAGAAACTTGAGAAATAACAAAGAGAGAGGAGTTCAAAAAGATGTGGACCGTGAAGGGAATAGTAGTCCTCATGGTATGCTGGTCCATGCCAGTGTGCTTGAATGAGAGCACCCTTAACACTACTGGGTGTTTTTGGAATGGCCCACTGGTTCACCAGCTGACAATCAGAGTACGATGCACACCAAATGGACTGGACTTGTTCTTATATAACGCTTTTCTACTCTGAGTACTCAAAGCGGTTTACACATCTTGCTTCACATAAGCACTTTTTTTATATGCTATTTCTATGTAAGTGCCTTCTATCTAACATTCAGATGCATTCATACTCCGATGGATGCATCAGAGAGAGACATAGGATTAGTATCTGAACCAATAATTAGTAGGCGACCTGCTTTACCACCTAAGTTACAGCGTCACTGGTGCATGTCCTCCCAAATCCCCGGCCAATGAAATTGGGCCATTATTCATTCCATCCTTCCTTCCATCCATCCAGCCATTTTCTTACACCTATCCTGGACTGGGCCGTGGGGGCAGCACCCCAAGTAGAGAAGACCAGACCTCCTCCAGCCTCTTTTCTAGGGGAACACCAAGGCCTTCCCAGGCCAGCCGAGAGATCTCTCCAGTCACTACCCAAAGCTCATATCATAGGTAAAGGTAGGGATGTAGACCAACCAATAAATTGAGAGTTTCGCTTTTACGCTCAGATATCTCTTCACCACAACAGACCGGTACAGCGTCCGCATCACTGCAGCAGCCGGACCAATTTGTCTGTCGATCCCCCGCTCTCTTCTCTCCTCTACTTGGGGCAGGAACTCATCCCTGACCCGGAGTAGGCACCCGACCCTTCTGGGGTCAATTCTCATACCCGCTGCTGATCTAGTGTGAGTTGGAGGCCATCACTTGATGAAGCCAACAGAACCCCGTCATCTGGTGGACCAGCGCTGGCCCTTGGTCACCACCAGGGTCTTGCCAGCAATGCGTACCAAAATCTTGCAATGGTTGTATAAGGTTTGAATGACACCCCATACTCCTGAAGCACCTGTCATATGTGGTCAAATGCCTTCTCCGAGTCAAAGCACATGCAGACTGGTTGGGCAAACTCACATGCCCCATCAAGTATCCTCCATAGCATGAAGAGCTTGTCCAGTATTAAAACCGCATTTTCCCTCTTGTATCGACTAACAGACGGAAAATCATTTCCAACACTTAGGCGTAGATTTTCCTGGGGAGGCACAGGGTGTGATCCCCTTGTAGTTGGAGCACTCAAGTCCCCTTTCTTGAAGGTGGAAATCACCACCCCCGTCTGCCAATCCAGAGGTACTGGCTCTGCCGGCAGCCAGTTGTGCCAGAGTGAACCGAGCTGCAAGCCCAGAGGCCGCAGGCCCGAGGGCCCCCTTTGCCCTGGAAGAGGCCTGACCGAGCAACAGGCACCAGGCCCCGCCAAGTAGCCACCGGGAGTGAGCTGGTACATACCTGAGCGCCCAGCCCCGGAC